AAATTTTGATGTTTATGATGATGACGGTAACGTTACAGTTAATCAGAAGAGGTGTACTCTGTTCATTCAGTCAGTAATAATTAGGCTAGCAACTTCAGCTACAGAGATGAAGGTCATACTTGAACTAGCAGCCAGTCATGTTTCTAAATTTCCTACAGGTAAGCTGAGTGTAATGAACACCCAGATAACAGTAGTATGTTTTAGCAGAACCTTAATGTGTAACTTTGACACTCAGAGACGTTGACTTTGACTGCGATTAAGAGAGTGTGTGTGTGTGTGTGTGTCGCGGCTGATGGAGGGTGCCACTAGAAATAGCTTGGGTAGCTAAGTACATCGCTAATGATGTTCTGTGCGAGTTAAAGTGAGGGAAACGTGTGTGAAGATGCATATGGTTGAGATACAAGAGTGACAGTAAATTGTGTGAAGCAGGATGAGCAGAGTGAATGTGTTAGGAGCATCGATGAGCTGTGTGTTATGTTGAGCAGGCTAATGGATATAGGCTGCGTCATGTTCATGCTAACTCCTGGGCCCAGTATTTCAAAGTTATCTGATAGGATTATCCTGGCCGGATTGGATTAAATCCTGATCTGATCTGAAAACTGGGTATTTCAACACAGAGGATCCTGATCCTGAGGATCAGGATTCAGCTCTGGTAATCCAATCCTCCCTTTAATCCAGATAAAGGCTGCATTTGGGTGTTTCAAAAGTTAAGGCAGAGATCTGGATCAATTTGATACCAAATTTCAGGATTATTTGGATCCCACCTCAGAGGTGGATTTGACAAAGCCTCAGCTCCACTTCTCCTAGATATTGATACTCAAGATGTTCATTACACTTCATCTAAATTAGTGTTTTAGTTGTAAGTAATTTCAAGCATAGAAAAATATTGTTTGGCCATACTTCCTGAAACTGCTGTAAATAAGAGTAACAAATACAGACCTATTTCTCAACGTCTAGTTTCACCTAACATTATAACCTGTTTGTACCAAAACATCCAACATATGTTTGTGGTCAGACAAAGGCAAGGAAATGCAGTGCAAAGCAAATTTATTTGTATAGCACATTTTCTTTACATAGAGTGCAAGAAACAACACAGGGATTAACATAATAAGCACATGGCAATTCAAACAGAGTACTAAAAAAGCAATTAGAAACAAATGATATGTGTGCACTTGCATTTTTCCAATGTTACATCACATCTTTGAGGGGGGAAAAGTAATAGCTCAACTATGTCCTGAAAAAACATTGCTGTATGTCTCAATTTAAATCACATTTAAGCACTTTAAATGTATATTTTCATGCTTCTGATTTAATGAAGATAAATTTTACTTAATTCAGATAAGCTTGAAAATGCACCTTTAAAATCCCTGGGAAGTGCTTGACTGTGATTTTATAACATGCAGCAATGTATTTCAGGAAGTGGTTGTGTGTACAAACTGATTATTTTACTTCATCAAATCAGATGCTATAGTGCTATATGTTTAGTGGGAGCCTTCTACAAAAGGGGATACATTTCCAGGGATTTCCAGCATTCGACCTGTTGTCTTCATTAGCAGTGGCATTGCTGAGTGGCCCATGGGTGTGAGTGTATTCTGAAAGTAGAAGTAGAGTGTGTATGAGCATATCTTTATCATTGTCAGGAATCCACAATAGCCAGAGAAATTGTTTAAGTAACGTTACAGAAAAGCATATCACCAGCATTACTGTAGCATACCCAAACTCAATCCTCTGACACTTATGAATGAACTGCATCATTCATACAAAACCAGCTACCTCGCTAGCCTGCTAGCTACTTAACATGTAAGTCAATGGAGCCGCGTTAGCTACCGTTAGCATGACCTCGGCTCAATTAGAGATCGGTACGCCCATGTTTTAAGTAGATGACAATTCAAATAGCTGGCTCACATGAGATGGTGAGTGGCCTTTGTATGGTCTTAAAAACGCTACACATTAGACAACGGTATACTTACATTTTGATGCGAAAGCTGTGTTACCAACTGCTCCTTTCGTGAAGTACTCCGCCGTGGAGACAGAGCACAGCGGGTCATAATCTGAAAGCCACGCCCCCAAAGGGGAAACGTTTCAGATCCGGGGGTGGAGTCGTGAGATTTGGAAATCCGTATCCAGTCAGATTGGGATCAAAGTGATCCACCCTGCCAGTGTTTTGAAATACCCAGATAAAGTCAGCAGGATCACCTTGATCCCTGACTGAGAAAAGGAGGATTTCATTATCCGGATTATTCTGATCCGGATTACAAGTTTTGAAATACTGGGCCCTGGTGATTTGCTAACGCCATAGCCTGACTTCATTCCTCTCTGTCAGTAAGGTTAAAGGAGCATTTCATACATTTTGGCAGTTGAAGTTTGTATCAGGCCCAGTGTGTATGTGTTTTATTATCACTCTTGTGAAACCATTGTGAGAATAATTCAGTACTAGGCTGTGGATTAAAAACAAGGGAAGTTAGATTAAATATGTTTATGGGTTTAATTCTGATCCTTCTCTTTCAGAGGGATGGGCTGACATTGCAGATGGTGTCAGATGGACTGCAGAAGACGACCCTGCAGGCAGGTTACCTGCATGCAGGTAAACAAAATAAACTCCCTAGAGAGGAATTAATATGCTACGGTGTATGTTTAGTAATTGTGACAGTGAAAGTTTTTTCCTTCTGTATTTCAGACAGTCCCAGGTCAGCATCTGAAGCAGTTCCTGGATGAAGTGGGACCTTTTCCTGGAAACACCTTCTCTGGTGTAAAACTCAACAGGAAACAAGTGGATGATGATGACTTCCACAAAGTGCAAGATAAACTAATCAATGGCTTCTGTGACAACCTGTGAATGGTAGAAACCTCAGGAAGAACAACTGAGGAGGGATCCCTCTTCCAGGATGGACAGACATGCAATAGATGTCGTACAGAACAGATGAAGGCCGCTGCCACCATGTTTGACCTAAGCAACTGGCCTGAAGACATCACTGACCTGGCCACCTTTAGCCTGGCTGATGTTGAGACTTTTGTCACTCACTTTCAGAAAACTGATGGGTTACAGGGAGCTTTCTGGAACACTGTATTCATGAACAGTCAATCTAAGTAACAAAACTTTTGAAAAAGCCAAATGAACTCAGATCTGTCATTGTTTTTAGAACTCAACTATTAGGGTTTCTAATCCTTTTTTCCTGTTTTTGACAATAGTGGTTGCATTAAAAATCAATATGAAAAGGAAATATGTCCTTATGTTGTGTTTTCACCACCATTGGTAGGCTGAATTCTCATCACGAGTGAATAAAGCAGCTAACTCTGAATCAATCTGCTCAAATTTTTAAGTTCAAATAACTCATGTTTGTCTTAGTATGCCATTTTGAGGAAATGATATTCCCATGATCCTTTGCTAAAGAAAATAATAACATTCTAGATTGAAAAGAACGCATCAGAATTCTTTAATGTTGAAATAATGATTGATATCTGGATGTTGCTATAGATGCATAATTAATAGAATTATTAACTTCAGTGAGTGCATAATAAAGAGTTTATGAATGTCAACAAGACACCGTTCCCACTTTAGATCCAGTAGCTGCAAAGATGCATTATGAGCTGTTAATAAGTGCATATTAATAATTTATTAACGTTTATACGACACTGTTCCTACTTTAGATCACATTATTTACTATTAATAAGTGCATAATTAAGCATTTATTAACCATAAAATGGCATTTATATTAATTTATATTAATTATTTATATTATTATTTATATTCTTATTTATGTTAATAAACACCTTATTAATTTCATCTTATAGGGTCTTATAGTGTCTTATAAACCAGTAATAAATGTGGTAATTATTCTATACTTAACCCTTATAAATTATAATTAATGTAAATAGATATCTTAATAATATTTAGTATAGGTTTATAAACACTAGTCTAGTCTTATTGATGTTAATTAGCATTTTATATCATTTTATAAATGCTCATTAACTGTTAATTTGTGCTTATTAAGCATTAATTAGCGCTTATTACAGTACCTTAATATAAAGTATTACCACTAACTACATTACTAATAACATGTAAGAGTGTTTATGGGATCATTTACCTACCTGAAAGAATAAATGAAAAGCTACTAGTGAGTTGGCTGCAGTGGCTTTGCTTTTTCACATTTTCTTCTAACAGCACGTAGTACTGTTATGTTACATGCAATTGATAATAAATAACTAACCAACAGTCAAAGTGTTGATTAATATTTTCGATATAATATGATATATTGAATAATATATAATATTTAAAATACGCAGAAGGGCTAGCCTTGGGTCGACAGCTCTTTTGACAATGTTTACTATTGCTGTCAGGAGGTGGCGCCAATCACCAAATTGTATATTTGTCGGGATACTCAAGTCTGGGCTGACATGGCCATCTCTAGACAGATGCTTCCATAGTGGCTCAAAACAAATAACCATAGAGGCATAGAATTGTTATTGGTACTCTTGTTTGTGAATCCTACTGTTTTGGAGGCACTCTACCCATGTCACCAGAGGGTGAACCCTCAATATTTAGCAGTCCCCCTTTGATCAGTGAGCATTTTGTCGACATCTTGACCACCAAAGATTAAACATTGGATTAACTGTAATAATTTCAGAATACCCTTTAGTATATAGTGTTTCCACATGCAAGTAAGGATTTAATTAAATATGCATCTTTGGGAATTCTTTGCTTTGCTCTTTGTAATTCTTTGTCTACATATTTAAGATGTATTTTCTTTAACATATTAAACTGTTCTTTACATCATACTCCAAAAGTCTTATCCAAGTATTCTCAGCTATTCGAGAATTATGAGCATTTCATTATTTGTTCAAACTGATGACCATGCATCCATGTCATACTGATGTTGTGAATTATGTCTTGATATGGATCAAGAGCAAATTGCTGTTAAATATTTTTTTGATTCAATCAATTACTTTTGAATTGTGCCTGACCCCTGACCCTTTCCTTCTTTTGCTGCTCTGGTTGACAGGCACAAGATAAGTAAGACTCAATCCAGGAGGAGGCGTCTACAGATCACACTGGCAGAGTCTCTCAGCCTGTGGAGACTCACCATGTACGAACTGTTTCTGAGGGTGAAGGGCTCCACGTTGGGAAACTGGCTCACTGCTCTGCTGGCATTTCTGGCCTAAGATATATCTGGACATCCCACTAGGATATTAACAAAAGGCTGTTACTTTTGGCACAAAAGGGGTTTAAAAGACAGTCCATGTTAACACATTTTGAATATGTGTTTATACAGTCACACACACAAATTCTTATTTTTGTTAACAATAAAACTTGTTATTCCATGGACACATACAAGAAAACAACATGCTGATATCCTTGGACACCACACTGTGGCTGTTGATGATCACAACTTTTATTATTCAGTTGTCAGTGTTGACTTTTTTCTAAATTGTATGTCATATACTCAAGATGATTTTTTTTCTTCATTCTTATTTAATTTAAGGCTATTATTGCACAAAGACTTTATTCACAAACTTTAAATTGTCTGGAATCATCATGTCATTTATGGGATACTGTAACCTGTGTTCACTGACTGTGTCTGACAACCTGTGCTTTAGCTGGAGATGCTGCAGAGAAATACTGAGTGAATGGATAAATGGTAGTTTGTCATAAAATAGTTCAACCACATCTCTGTTTGAGTAGAGGTCAGATTAGTCCTGACTCCAGCTCTGCACCTATCCATCTCCTTATCTCACTTTCAGAATAAAAAACAACATAAGCATATTTTCCAAAATGCTGAACTTCCTTGCAGTCATAACCCTCGGGAGACCTTGTTTGATATCCCAAAATATTATGATGTGGGGACACAACATGGTTTAGATATCACCATCTTATATGAAGTTATTAAGGCATTGTATTATTACGTAAGATATCTGTCAGATTAGAAATTTAATTGTCATGGTCTTAAGATAATCAAATATCAGTTAAATTATCATGTGTATCTTTTTAGACAGGGCTATAGATCTCAAACACTTGACAGCTTTGTATTATCTTAAACATAATGGCATACAGACAGCCCTAAATACCATCAAACAATCAATTCCAGCACATAAAAGACAGTGATGCAGTGGTGGAGATTGATACAAGCAGGTGGAGAGAGAAAGAGGAGCAGCAAGATAGTGCATCAGTTAGTAACACAGCCAGACTGGTAAGTAAGTAATACACAGAGACAGGTATACAGAGTGCACTGTTAAGCATGCCATAGGTACAGGTAGTCACAGGATGCGATTCACTTTCATTTTTACCTTGTGAGAGGCACACTATGTAAAAACAACATGATGGCGGCTGCCAGATACTACCCTCATATGAAGTAGAATTCTGTTAAATATGGGGCAAATTTTGAGTATTAGTCACTGTAGAGGTGATCTTAAGTGATCCTGCCTGGATGATGTTGGACTCAACAAAATACCTCAGAATGAAGTTTGCATCAAGTCAGAATTTGGTGATGCAGAATACAATTAACGCTTGAATAGATTAAGACTCTTTGTATTACTGTCATGTTAGTAGTATGTGTTATTTACTGAGGCCTTGTCACTCAGGTCAGAGATGGTTATTCCTTCAGCTTTTACATTCCTGCTGATCATATTTTGCTTCCCATTCAGGCAACTTAACACCACCTTTATAGCTCTATAGAAAAGCTTTTTACTCTCTGGCTAAGTCCCTTATTTTATTTTATTTTATTTTATTTTATTTTATTTTGTTATTTCAGAAAGAGGCTAAAATTCTGTATTTCCCCTTCCCTTTTCCCCTATGTCACTATTGAAATTCAAATAAACACAAGAAGTTTGTGCTCTAGAAAAGGATCAGCACTCAGTGAATAACCTCCTAAGCCCTATGATAAGCTATTATGGCAAGGCTTAACTATACAGACCAGTGAGGTCTCTCTCTCTTGGTCCCACGACACCTCCAGGAGGCTAGACAGTGATCTCTGGCGTCCCAGAGACACTCCCCTAATGTCAGGTCTCACTGCTCTCCACACCAACCCAATAACCTCCTTTACCTTACTTACACGTGGCTTTCTCAGCCCAAACAGGAGATAATATAAATAAACGTACGGGATCAGCAAACACACTCACCTTGCAGCATGGTCTCAAACAAAAGGGATTCAAATAGGCCACTCCCACACTTAAATAACCTTCCTCTTCCTGGATTTCCTTCTTACTTACACATGGCTTTCTCAGCCCAAACAGCACTGCCATCTTCAACCAAACCCAGGCTCCATACATGCGAGCTCCAGGCAGAAGCAATGCTGATACTAGCTTTCCTGTCACATTCACCATACTCTATTTCACACACTACATAGCATAACTACAATATAAGCTAAAGTTAAAGGAGCTAACTGGACTTACAGGATCAGCAAGCACACTCACCTTGCCGCATGGCCTCAAACAAAATGGATTCCAATAGGCCACTCCCACACTTAAATACTTCCTCTTCCTGGATTTCTCCTGACAGGAAGTGGATCTCTCCACCTGATCTCAAGGAGTTATGTGCCCTGCTTAGTAGTTCCCCCTGCTGGCCCCCAGCTGACATTATTTCTTCTGTAATAGATAAACTGGCTGCATTTAATTGCTTCATCTGACATTTCCCTCACTGTCTTCCTCAAATTCTGTCCCCGCACTCCGAGTTCCCCCAGGAGTGAGACAGTTGATCTTGCTATGAATCCCCTACACCCCACTTCCACTGGACAAATCCTAGTCTTCCATCCTCGCTGCTCAGCTTCTGCTCCTAAGTCTGCATATCTAAGCTTTTTTCTTTCATAGGCTTCTTCCACTGAGTCTTCCCAAGGAACTGTCAGCTCAATGAAATAAACTATCTGTTGACTCACTGACCACAACACTAAGTCAGGCCTCTGCCTGGTACAGACTATTTCCTGAGGAACAACAAGCTTTCCCCCTAAATCTACTTGCATTTCCCAATCACAAGCACCTTCTAGGCGGCCACACCCTTGCCTCCTCACTAACTTATCCCTTCTGTATTTCTCTCCCTCACGGACAAACTGAATTACTAAGCCCCTATCCTTAACACCTTCTGAATTCACCTGTCTTCGTTTCCCTTCGATGCCTGCAGCTAAACATTTCAACACCTGATTATGTCGCCATGTATATCGGCCTTGTGACAAGCTAACTTTACAGCCTGACAAAATATGCTTTAAAGTTGCGGTACGTGAACACAATGGGCATGATGGGTCCTCATTTACCCACAGTTTTAGGTTCTGGGGGGTTGGTAACACATCGTATGTAGCCCCTACCAGGAATCTAATACGATTCTCCTCCATACTCCACAGGTCCCTCCAACTAAGCTTCCTCTTCTCTACACTTTCCCAATTCAACCACTGTCCCTGTTTAGCCTGGGCCACTACCTTTGCACCCCTTACTATCTCTTCCTGTCTGCGTATCTGTTCTACAACCAGCTTTCTTTTATCTTTGAGGCCTGCTGTATTCCATACCGGTTTACCTGAGCCAAGCCCCAGGCCTCCCCGGCCAAACTGAACATTACCTACAATCTCTGCATGTCTAAGAGCTGCCTCTGCCTCCTGAACTGCCGATCTTGGGTTCCACTTCCTCCCCTTGGTTGGATTTGGAACCACACTCCTAACTACCACGTCCTTACTCCCAGATAACAAGAGCTCTGTCCTGACCTTGGTACATTTAAATTCCTCTGTTAAACTAGATACTGGCAGCTGAAGTATCCCTTTTCCATACAATGCAACACTACTTAGGCACCTAGGAGCGCCCAACCACTTCCTAATGTAGGAGCTAACCGACCTTTCCATTCTCTCCACAACAGATATTGGAATTTCATAAACTGACAATGGCCACATTAACCTAGGATATAGCCCAAATTGCAAACACCACAACTTCAACTTTCCTGGAAGTTCTGATTTATCTATTCTATCCAATCCTTCAGCCACATCTTTTCTAAATTTCACCACCTGTTCCTTATCATTCAACTCTACATTGTACCACCTACCTAAGCTCTTTACTGACTTTTCCCTAATTGTTGGGATGTCCTCATCATCTATGACAAACTTCCTATCACTTAACTTCCCTCTACATATCGAGATGCTTCTAGATTTACTAGGCTTGATTTTCATGCTGGCCCACTTGAGGTTCTTATTTACCTTCTCTAGTAGCCTCTTTGTACATGGCATTGTTGTGGTCACCAGTGTCATGTCATCCATGTAAGCCCTAACTGGTGGAAGATGCAACCCATTCTGCCGTCTCTCCCCACCTACCACCCACTTAGAAGCCCTGATGATTACTTCCATTGCCATAGTAAATGCTAATGGAGAAATTGTACACCCTGCCATGATGCCTATTTCTAGCCTCTGCCAACCTGTTGTGAAACCTGCTGTACTTAGACACAACCTAATATCCTGAAAATATGCTTTCACTAAGTTAACAACTACCTGTGGCACTCTGAAGTAGTCAAACGCACTCCAAATGAGGCTGTGCGGTACTGAACCAAACGCATTTGCAAGATCTAAAAATATTACATGTAGGTCCCTTTTGTTAATCTTCGCTGCCTGAATCTGGTGCCAGATCATGCTAGTATGCTCTAAACACCCTGAAAAACCTGGTATTCCTGCCTTCTGCACCATGGTATCTATTAAGCTATTCCTTTCTAAGTAGCTAGCTAGTCTCTGCGCTACTACACTAAAGAAAATCTTCCCCTCCACATTCAAGAGAGAAATCATCCGGAACTGGCTAAGGTCCACAGACTCCTTCTCCTTAGGAATGAGGACACCCCCTGCCCTACGCCATGCTCTTGGTATAATTTGTTTTTCCCAAACTATTCTTAGCTGTTTCCACAAAAATTTAAGGGTATCAGGCGCACTTTTATAAACCCGGTAGGGGACTCCATTAGGCCCTGGGGCCGAAGAAGCCTTTGCACGCCTGACCACCTCCTGAACTTCCTTCCACCTAGGTGGCCTGACATCCATCTCATGCTCTATCCCTCCTAATGGAGGGATATCAGGTGGGAAACCTACTATCCTATTCTTCTCCAAATCTGAATACGTGTTTCTCAAATATTCTTCAACCTCTAACCTTTCTGCTTTAAGCTGCCCTCCCTTTTCCTGGCTGAACAATCCTTTAACAAACTTAAAAGGGTCCCTGAAAAAACCTGTCCTAGCATATTCCTTCTTCCTCCTCTTTTTCCTGAGATGCTCTGCCCTTCTAAGAACTGCTAGCCTGCTTCTCAACTCTTCTTGCAACACCTTAATTCCCTCCCTTTCTTCTTCTGTAGCCTTTTTCCACTGCTTTCTTAACTGTCTCCTTTCTTTGACTAACTTCTCTATTTCTCTTTGCCGCCTAGACTTACCTGACTGTACCCTCTCACTCCTCTTTGTCTCATGCACCCCAAACCTCTCTACACCATATGAATACATTATATCTCCCATCTTTTCTAACCTTTCTATTGCATTTCCTCTAAGCCTACTCAAGATTACTGACAAATCTCTATTAACTATCTCCCATTCTTTACTGTCATTTGCTCTAGGCCATCTAACTCTAACCTTTGCTCCATGGTTCTCTCTGGCATACTGGCCTCAGTGTCACCTGCATCCTCTCTTACTACCCCCTCCTCCTCAGTGGCAGCGTTACTGATATCCTCCGAACTGTGGTTTTCTACCTGTCGCTGGACTTCATCCGACTGACTCGACTGACTTCTTAGGAAGTACTGATCAATGCAGCTACTCTGCCCTTTCTTTGCCACACACT